CTTCCTGGCCTCTTCCTTGAACCACCAAGCCTTGAGCGCAATCCAAGTGGTGGCGACAGATCAGACGCTGACCTGAGCTTAAGGATAAAGTGCATACAAGTCATTGATCATACGGTAATCATGGTCATGGAGAATCATCCGATAGGCTGGATGAGTCGTAAAGATCCCATCAAGGTCACGTCATTCCAAACAGCCACAACCGCTGCCGCTGATATCAGTGAGTACAAGCAATCAACTTGCACTTCCTTCACTCTAACTAACATGATCATCGATATCATAGACAACTGCTGCTACACAACCTCAACCCTCCCATCTACAGACCCTTCAACAGCCCAACCTTTCCAATGGCTCAACCTCACCGCTCAAAACCCAAAGCTCCAATCTAACCCTGCCCAAGCTGCGATCGCACCTTTAACAGTCACTTTCCAACCCGGAACCGTCTTCTTACCCGGCTCACAGCCTCTACCGAAACCCCTGATGGCGTCCTCCCCACCGCCGAGTTGCAGCATGGAGCCGGATGGAGTTTCCTTCGTTTGTGTCGGCACCAAAGACGTTGGATTCAAAATCTCGGGCGGTGCTTCGTTGTATCCAGCGTTCGTCAAGATGGGGTCGGATGTTTGTTCTGGCTCGAGTACGTGCCAGCTTGCAGTACCAGATACGGGTGGTACCAGTGGGGCTTCATCTTTGATCAATCTGGGTAACGTCTTATCTCCCAACCCCTTAAATTATCATTAACATTCTTGTTACGCCAAAAACTCAAGGCCCCATCGGGAGTCAACCACTTTGGTTCGTCATTGTCATGTCCATCGTGATCGCTGCCTTCGTTGGGGGTGTTGGATGGATCTTGTACAGACGAACAGCACATGGATCCAGGAACTTTGACGAGGAGACTCTCAGAAAGCACGGTGGGAATGAGGCAATGTACAACAATACCTCAGGTGCAGCTTCACCAGCAGCAAAACCTAAAGGTGGTTGGTTCAAGAGGAGAAGGCAGCCAGATGACAATGTCGACTATGACCGCGAGAACAGCGACGTAGGATCCTCGGCCGCCGCAACCTCACCCGCTGCCCACTCACGCAAAGCACCCCTCCTCCCAACAATCCCTCGACTCAGCATGGACGTAGACTCTATCGACAGCCACTCCAAACGCTCTGTTGCCGCCAAGCAACGAAACCCAGAAGTGTCGCACATGAACTACACCATCCCTTCTTTGAGCCGCTCTCACCGTTCGTCAACATCTCACAACAACAAGCAAAGTGACTCTTCAGCCCATAACGAACGTATGGATGACGATGCAGATTTCACATACCCTTCCCACAAAAAACCTGGAATGGATCTTGGATCTGGTTTAGCAGGTTCTGGATTCTTTGAATCTGCTGGTGTAGCTCCTGTGGGTTCGGTGGTAAAGATTGAAGAGGACTCGTTGTTTTCCGGTGACTTTGCAACTGGTGCATCTTCAAAGTCTGGCACGCTGAGGTCTCAGAGGAGCAGAGGCAAGTCGCCTGGTAGAAGGTCGTTTGAGGGAGAAGATGACATTTTGTCGCCGCCCGAATACATTGCCCGAGTTGGAGAGAATTTGTACCCACCTTCACCCAACAACAAATCCTCGGCGACTACACGTGGAAGATCACCTCACCCCACTGATGAAGGATCAGATTCTCGAATGAAGAGCTTAGACCGAAAGCGAACCGCGGCTGGAAATCGACAAAGTGACCATGAGCCCATTACCAAGTCCAGCACCCTGGAACGCAAGAAGTCAACACGTCATGAGAAACCCCCACTCGTCCCCCTCGTCTCCTTGGAACCTACCAACACACCCACTAACCCACATACCCACTCCTCCCTCCCTCGTCGTCAGCCAAGCACAAAACGAGCACCTGGCAAACCCCTTGTCGACCTCTCGACACCCAACACCCTCCTCTCCTCCTCACACCCACCCACAAACACCCTCATCTCCCTCATCGACCAGCGTCTACCCGCGACCACCAATACTCCATCGGGCTCCTCCGCTGCTATGTTACGACACAACGCCCCCTCGCCTTCCCCCACCGTCGTCCCAAAAGAGGAAGAAAATGACCAACGAACTCTCCCCGCCACCTCGAACGAAGCCATCGCCAAAGCTCTCGAAACCCTCCAACGCCGCAAATCCAGCAAAAGCCAACGTCAAAGGTCCAAAAGCCGTGGGCGAAGGGGTGCGTCACCGGGCCTTTCCTCGTCTTCTGATGAGGATGACCGAAAACAACACACCAAGAAGAAAAAAGGCGCGCGTGCGGATGATGAAGAGGAGGATGATAGTATGTATCCACCTGCGGATGATATTGAGAGGTATGGTACTGGATATATTACACCAGGAAGGAAGGATATGAGCAGACGCGGGTCGGCGAAGAGTGTTTCGTCTCCACAGTCTGGGTCGTTGTCAAGAAAGAAGTCGAAATCAAGAAAAAGGGAGGAGGAGGAGGACGATGAGGATGTGCCGCTTGCGAGTGTTGCATTGGCGGCATTGCAGAACAATATGAGGGATTAATACTTTTAACTTTGGCCATCTGGCACATTTCAATAAACTCACAATAAACTCACTATTTGCATATCTTATCGTCATTGAAATGTGAGACAGCCACACTGTGTTGCCTGGACCGTCAGGAGGAGCTTCTTTGTGTGTTGTCAATCTCAAAGCCAGGTTGAGCGCGAAGACACAGTTTTGATTAGCGAAACAATCTCGAGCCATCCAGATTTTTCTCGCTGGACTTTCTGTCATCGGCTTGGTTTTGAGAAATTTAAAAGGCAGTTTAAGTCAAAATTTATTATTCACAATGTTTACTTTGGTAAGTCCAGTTCAAGTTCCTACACCGTTTCCCATCATCAAAAATAAAATCCATGCAAACCAAATCAAAAAGATCAAGTCGTGTCGTGTCATAATGAAGGAGCCAAAGCCAGAACACCCCCCTCTTCCACCTTCCTCTCTTCATGATTCGGCAAACTCGGCATAGTTTTGCAAGCCCCTGTACAACTCGGTCCACAAACTCCCGCCGCTCCACCACTTTTCCCCTCCTTGCTGTTGTTGCTGTTCATACTATTCAACAATGTCGCCGCTACGTTCTTACATACACCCCTCTCAGAGAAATATACAACTTTGCCTGACGCGCGTTGAGTCCCCGTTTCTTCGCAAAAGGTTTTGCACGTGTCGAAGGGCGGGCAGTACAGGTGCAGTGAGACGGCTTTCTTTGTGAGTTGAGGGTTAGAGACGCGGTGGAGGCCGATTTTGTCTAATTATCATTGTCAAAGCAAGGTCACCAATGGGGTTGTTAAAAACAATCAAATAACGAAAGGAATGATTGGGGGTGAACTGTACCATGCATGTACGTCACTTGGTCTCTGAAAAACAATGACTTTTGAGTCACTTGCATACCCTCGTACGAAGGCGAGCACGGTGTCAGCGTCTCTTCGGGGTGGTCTGCGTCTTCGGGCCAGGCGTACATGGTCTCTACGAGTTCACCGTCGAGGACTTTGAGGAGGCAGTGGGCTTTCGAGTGGTCGTGGATGGGGCTGTTTAGGGGGAATATGAGGAATTGGAATGGGAAGAGAGAGTGGAAGGTTAGGTTTTCATTGAAAATACACTCTTGATATCCTATCCGGTTCCTCAGGCTTCATAAGCGGTGATGGTATTTATCAAGCTCTGTTTTCTCAATTGTGAAGGTTGTGGAAAACATGTCACAAAGAGGGGGGTTAGACACCCAATTTGTCCACGTGACTTTGTCCATCTTGTCTTGTGGCTCACACCCAGTGACATCCCAGAGAGCCGTACTATCTTCTGTAGTCTCTCGGATTATCCAGTCCAGATCGCCTTCACACACAATCAAATCATAACAACCACCCAATTCCTCACAACTGAAACCAAAAAGATGGTGATGGTGGTGGTGGTGAAGCTAGTCCCAAACTCACCTCGCCTGTCCCTCCGCCCAACACAACACCATCAGATTGAACTTTCCGTTCCCATCGTCCACCAAGTTTCTTGTATACCGCCCTCCATCAAAGAAGGCGTACTTTTCCCAATCCTCCTTGTTGGACTTGTACGATTCCATGATCGTTTGGATCCGTTGGACGTTGAGAGCGTCCATAGAGTCAATGCCTTGGGTGTCGAGTTCGGTGTGGAGGATGCTGATGAGGTCGGAGAGGGAGGTGGGGATGGGTGGTGGGTTCGATGACGAGTTTGGGTCTGACATGTTGGTAGTGTTCAAGAGGGTTACTACTCTTTGGGGCGGGATAAGGTTTTGTGGTGGTGATCGTCGGTACGTGGTGGTCGATTGTTGCGATGGGGTGTCGGAGCAAGATTTTCAGTAAAGTCACGGACTACAGTGATAACCAACAGACTTACCGCCCCTAACTTACTGAAAGCGGAGATCTAAATTGGTAGATATTCATTTTGCTAGTCTAAATATTTCTGGTTTCCGCCTTGTAATCACCGCTTGAAAACGTCACTCCTTTCTTCAATATGAAGCCAGTTGACGACTTTTGCGGTGAAGATCCCAATACATCATGTGCCACTTTGGCCAGCACAAGGCCAACATCTCAGCCAAGACTTCACAGGGTACCTTTGCACTGGTGGCAACTTTGGGGGGTCGGTCAAGTGGAGAATCTGTGCTGGTTTCCATTCTTTGCGGAGCATGGTCGCAACACATTTCAGATCGCACCGACAAAGTTAGAGCGCGATCCGTCATGTGGGTTCTACGGTTTTTTAGGGACAACTTGGGCCCAAGAATTGACTCCAGCAACTCTTTCCCTTCCGTTGTAGCGTAAGCCAGGTGAAGTGAGCTCTGTCGGTTTTAGGAAGTGAGTCTTCGATAATTGGCATATGACAAAAATGAAGTGTGATATCATATCAAGAGAAGCGACTTCACACACAAAAAGAAAAGAACCTCATGAAAAGATTACAAAAGAAGCGACTTACACACACAAAAAGGTATCCATCTTTTATTTCTTTTCCCTTTTTTTTTTTTTTTATACGCTCCTAGTTGGACTCGAACCAACAACCTCGCGATTAACAGTCGCACGCGCTAACCAGTTGCGCCATAGAAGCTATATTTTTTTCTGTTTTTGTACCATACATAAGCGGTATGGCTAGAAAGCGTTTGTAAATAATTTTGAGTTGCCTTCTCGAACATTCTGTAACAATAACTTGTTGATTCCAAAATTATGGAAAGGGAGGCGCTTCCAGATTCAACGCTCGTCAACCATCACCAGCGCAGCGACACTATTCAACCCCAAGACAAGACAAGACATCTTGAGATTTCGCAGCAGTTAGCGAAAGCTTATCAGTCGACGGTAGAAAAGAATTCGTTAGGTAATCTTATCAGGAAGGAACGTGCTTGCCTATGATATGATCCGATCTAACTTCGTTTGGCCACAGGAAGCCGTGCCACCATCTCTCTAGTCCCTCCTTTATTTCAATCAGGTCGTTCGTCAACCATGCATTACGAGCAATACTCCAGCAACATCGCATCATCACCCTCCAACAACCCTTAAAGTTTAATACCTCGAGCTACGATACTCTCTGGCACCTCTTTACCATCCCAGAACTCCGCGAGCGCATTCTCGACTTTTGCGATCCCCTGACTCAGTACCTCCACTCATACGGCGAATACCACCCTCAGTTCATTGAAAAGGATGC